ACCTCTTTTCTTAATCATTGTTTACAATTTAGATCCAATTTCCCTTTTATCATGTCAATACAAATTATTACATTATTATTATTTTCAGTCATTTATTTAACAATAGTTTGACTATGTTTAACTTACTTTCCCCCCCCCCTTTTTAACCATTTAAAATTTATACCAAATTTCCTCTTAACAAACCCATACATAAGTATACATTGTTATCATTATCAATCATTTATCTAACTTTATCCATTATCACTACATTTTTAACATAATGCTCTAATTTTAACTAAATTTAACTAGTGTTTTATTATTAATTTTCATATCTCAACCTATGTCTTTCCAGTTAATAATGTAGTCCTATTTCTTTTGCCATTTGTGGAATTAGTCTTCTGGTTATTTCCTTAATCAAATTTGTTTGGACTTCTCTTCGCAACTTATTGCTTGTTACATATCTTGTAAAATCTCGAAATCCTCCATCAGCTTCTTTAATCAGCTTATCTTTGGTTATCAGTAGTGTTTTTGTCAAAGTTTTTGTCAAACGGAACTTTCTGATGACAAAAAAAAAGTGCCCGCAACTCATTTTACAGTTTGGATGCAAAACTCTCCCCTCTGGCTGATGTTGAGCAGTGAATCTTGAGCTCCAAATTTAAGTTCACGGCATGTGGCACTTGCAACGAACAAGGCAACGAAGAGAAATATGGTGCAAGGAACCAGGATCCATCATCCTATTCCCCCATACACACACTTCATTTGTTTCTCTCCCCTCCCCCCCCCCACATCATTAGTGGACTATTTTGAACTCCTCTGTAAAATAATTGGATTTCTCTATAGATTTCCCAGAGCAACACTCTGTTCCAACTTGGGTGGCAAGTTAAAAAAAAACTTCGTGAAGTAAAAAAATATCAATGATTTATCCAATTTGATCTCTGCACTATTTTTAGACTTCTGGGCTTATTTTGCTGTTGTCCTCTGCCAGCCCAAGTTTCCTTCCTTATGTTTTACTACTCAGGAAACACCTTGAGTTTGTTCAACACACTGAACAAACAGATAATCACAATGAAGCCTAATGTCTATGCGCATTGATCTATTTGCTTATTAAGTATATGATTGAATAAGTATAATCTTTATAGTAATTGTATTTAAATACAACAAAATGGATAACCAATTTCGTTGCATTTAAGTACAATGAAAATGAAGATTATACTTATACTTATCACCAAATGGAGTGGTTTTTTAGCTTTTCTGACTAAGGACACCACCAGTATGTGTTTCTCATTCAAAACTGAGCTCTGCATCAAAAGTAATGTTTTCTGGCTGAATTGCGTTCTTTTTCCAATTCTGAGATGCGCTTTGGTCTAACTCCTCAGAGAAAGCTCAGATCACCAAATGCAGTGGTTTTTTAGCTGTCCCGACAGGACACAACCAATATGCGTTTCTTGATTGAAACTGAGCTCTGGGTCAAAAGTAACTATTTCTGGTTGAATTGAGTTCTTTTGCCAATTCTGAGATACGCTTTGGTCTAACTCCTCAGGGAAAGCTCAGATCACCGAATGGAGTGGTTTTTTTTCCTTTTCCAACTCAGGGCACAACCAATATGTGTTTCTTCTTCCAATCTGAGCTCTGGGTCAAAAGTAATGTTTTCTGGCTGAATTCTTTTGCCAATTCTGAGATGCCCTTTGGTCTAACTCCTCCTCATGGAAAGCTCAGATCACCAAATGCAGTGGTTTTTTAGCTTTCTTGACAGGACACAACCAATATGGGTTCTTGTTTAAAACTGAGCTCTGGGTTTTCTGGCTGAATTGAGTTCTTTTGGCAATTCTGAGATATGCTTTGGTCCAACTCCTCAGGGAAAGCTCAGAATGAGTGGTTTTTTTTTGTTTGTTTTTGCTTTTCCGACTCAGGACACCACTAATATGTGTTTCTTGTTCGAAACTGATCTGTGAGTGAAAAGTTACATTTTCTGGCTGAATTGAGTCCTTTTGCTAATACGATGAATAAATACATAATTGCTTAAGATAAGTGAAAAAATAAAAGATAGCTTAATATGTCCAAACAA